GGGGACCCCGTCCCGCGGGGAATAGGAGATGAGAGCCGCCTCTTATTCGTGGGTCATCAGAGGCCGATCCGATCTTGAATGTCTGTGGAGGAAATCTTTAAGAAGTTAGAGTACACGGCCCAAGTCTGGTTTCTGATCAAAGGCGCTTTATTGGCTCAGCAAAACGATTATATACTGTTATCCCAGGGGGAGGGTTCAGCAAGCTTATTGGACAGCTCAAGCAAATCCTCTACCAATCACATGAGTCATTCAAGCATTTAACCATACAGCAATCAGTATTTTACCAAATGTGGGGAGGGGTAAGTGCACAATCCCTAGGGGCAAGTAGGACGGGGAAAATACCACCTGCTTCCTGCTCCAGATCCGGTGACCCTGTGGTTAGCACAAAGGGCTATTTTTTCTGTAAGATTTCCTGTTTGCCCAGGGGCTAGACCTGCCAAAGGTCACGTATGTAGTCTAGTGGGATTTTTCCACTGAGGCAAAGGCTAAGGTTGAGGGCAGCCATCTTATGCACGCCCAAGCAGTCTCTCACATACCACTCCAATTATTTAAATACAATATGTCCCAAAATTGCATTTTTTGGTTAATTTTTATAAGATAATATAAAGGGAAATATAAAAATCATAATTTTATCAAATTTATTCAATACAAGAATCAAGTGGTTGAAATGACACCTGCCCAAATGACACTCAGGATAGTACATAAATGTACACTACCTAAGTGACACTCAGGGTAAACTGTTAAATGGTTTAAAACAATATTTCCCCATCAAGAGCTTCAGTACCAATAAACAAATATATGTAGGGAACAAAAAATGTAATAGAGAAGCCAATCATTCCATAGGTAATATACTGATACGAATGCTCAACTTCCATGTGCTCTCTTGCTTTTCAAATATCATCACAGTCTTAAAGATTTTACAGGCTAAATGGGTGGTGAACTTTTCATTATATCTTTATTTGTACAAATACCATTCACATGAAGACTCACAATATGGTTTTTCCAAAGAGAGCCAGAAGAATGGGAAGCATAGACAAAGGTAAAATGTGTGCAGAAGGCTAGTAGATCCATTATAAGTAGTGGGAGATCCACATGCAATTCCAGCAGCACCTCCTAGAATCTCAGCTGTGTTGCCTCAGGGTGTACTGCAGGTGTCAAGAGTGAAAGAAAAGATCCCCAAAGCTAAATGAAGCCCAATAATGATCAATGAAGCATAGTTAGGAATTTGGTTAAAGTTGTCAGTCAGGTCCAAAAACACAAGATAGCTAAAATTAAAATGTATATAGGAATCCAGCAATAATGTCCAGAAGAGAGTGCATTCCTGTGTACAACCTACTCAGGCACACTAGAGAACTCCGGAAGGGATTAAGAATTTGTCCATGTATCATAGAATGCTGCTAGCAGCTGTAGGTGAGCAGGACCAGGTTGGGTGATGGGAATGGTGGTGCTGGACATGGTATGGGTGGAGAGCAAGCCATTCTTGGAATTGTAGCAAATCTCCAGCTTGACCACAGGTGGTAAGGCAGCTGCAGCCAGCATGTCACATCTTTCATGAGCATCACCTACGTGATTGCCAGCTAGCAATCATTAGGGGGTCCAGTTTCCAGATCCAAAAAGGGAAGACCAGGATACAGAAGATCTCATTGCCCAGTTAGGTGCCTAGGGAGAACAGGTAGTAGAGTGGCTCATTGTTCAAGTGCTCGGGCTAGTCTCCTCGCCTGTCAGCCTTGAGCCCCACTGGTCTGGGCCTGGCTCAGCAGCTAGCCTATTCCCCATGCTGTCAGGGGTGCCACTGCTGTATCGCGACTTGGCAGGGCGCTCTGGTGCCTCCTTGCTGAGAGTCTCTCACTGGGAACTCCGCAGTGCAGCTGGTGGTGCTTGCACAGAGCACAGACACTGGAAGCAGGCCACCTGTGTGGTTCCTGCAGCCGGCCAGCCGGCCATGTTTGCCAGTATCTTGTTGAGGATTTTTATATCAATGTTCATTACACTTGATCTTAGCCAAAAGGCCGAGAAGCGATAATATATCAATGTTCATTAAAAAGAATGACCTATCATTTTCTTTTTGTTAAGCCCTTTTATGACTTTGGTATCAGAGTAATACTGGCATCCAGGAATGACTTTGACAGTACACCTCTTTCAATTTTATTTAAAAGTTTAAGACATATTGCTGTAAAACTCTCTGAAGTTCTTATAGAATTCAGCCATCAAGCCCTGGGCTTTGCTTTTCTTAGCTGGCAGGTTTTTTTACTACTGCCTCAATTTCATTGAGTTGTTCAGTATTTTTATATCTTCTTGGTTTGGTTTTGGTAATTCATATATGTCTAGAAATCTGTCCTTTTCTTCTAGATTTTCCAAAACATTGGAGTATAGGTTTTCAAAGTAATAAGTTATAATCCTGTGGATTTTGGGACTTTCCATTGTGATTTCACTTCTTTCTTTTCTAATTGTATTTATATTGGTTTTTCTTTCCTTCTCCACAAGTTTAGGTAAGGGATTACCTATTTAGTTTATGCTTTCAAAGAATCAGCTCTTTCATTCCTTCATTCTTTGTATTACTTTTAGAATCAATTTCATTAATTTCTGCTCTGATCTTTATAATTTTCTTCCTTGCACTAGGTTTGGATTAGAATTGTTCTTGTTGTGTCTGAGGATTTAGCTCAGTGGTTTGCTGCCTGCCTCACAAGAATTGTTCTTGTTCTTCGGGCCTTGAAATACATCATTCCATTATTTATTTGGACTGTCTCTTTTTCTGATGATACACCTTTAAACTTCCCTTAGAACTGCTTTCACTGTATCCTGTAGGTTCTAGTATATTGTTATTATGGTTTGTGTTTAGGTGTCCCCCCAAAGCCTCATGCAGATGAGTGGGACTTTCTTTTTCAGAGGTAATTGAATCTGGAATGTGTAATGTTGGGGTTAAGGGTGTATGATTAGTAAACCACTATGTGGGGGTCATTAGTTTGGTACTGCCCTAATCCTGGTAGTTTGAATAAGATAAAAGGGGAAGAAAGATGCCGGTACACCCTCCTTTGTTAATACCTTGTATGTCCTGTGTTGTTTCTGTTCTGCTATGCCTGTTTGTCATCCCTGCCTTGGAGTTGGCTGATTATGGACTGAAATCTCTACGAAGTGTAAACCAGATAAACCCCTTCCCTTTTAACTTTGGGTATCAGGTATTTTGTCTCCGCAATGAGACAAAAGTAACTAACACAATTCTACTGGCATTATCCTTTGATTCTAGGCTGCGTTTATCCTGTGACCCATTGATCAGAGTGTATTTTTTATTCTCCATGTGTTCGCATAATTTCTTTGATTTTTCTTGCCATTGATTTTTAGTTTTATTGCACTCTGATCGGAAAATGTATGTGGGATTATTTTGATTCTTTTCTGCTTAAGCTGTTGTACCAAGCCTGTGAGTACACCAAATACCGGGACACAGATAAGACTGAAAGAAGTTTATTTCACATGTGCAGACTCCACTCTCTAAGAGAAGTGAAGCCCTGTTACAGGATTGTGCATAGATTTTATAGATTTTACAGCCATGACCTCATTCAGGTGGTTACATTTCATTTATAGATATACAAATCATGGTCACAAGACAGTTAACTTTCAACCCAGACATAACAGTTCTTTGCTGTTGGGGAGTTTACCTTGAAGATTGGCCTAGCTATCCTAGCCCATAGGAAGGGGGTGCTCAGGGTCAGGAAAGTAAATGTTAACAATGGTTCTCTCATACAGATACTTTTATGATCATGTGGCTCCAGTCTCATCAGGAGCTCAAGACCTTGACTTATCTCAGGGTTAGACCAAATACCTTATTCAGCAATTAGTGCCTTTGGTGCCTATTAGTTTTGAGCTAAACAAAACAAACTGCTGTTAGAGATAGCAGAAGCCATTCTACATTGTAACATTTTATAGGTTTTTGTTATTTACAAAGGTTCTCCCTATCATTCCTCCCTTTGTTTTGGGGGTATCTCCTTACCCCTTGTTATGTTCATACCAACTTTCATTATTCTACATAATTAGCATCTGATAATGTTGGGCAGCAGCTACTCTCTGATGTATGAGTTTTGATATCCATTTTTCCATGCAGGGACCAAACATGAGGATGAGCAATATAACGATAATTGGTCCTTGAGGGTGCTGACCCAAGCTTTCCATCCCGACAAGTTAAGGCCAAAATTGAATATTGTGTCCTCGGTACCTGATGTTTGATAAGGGGAGGGGTGCACAGCAGTCTCTGGGGTCATTAGCCGGCCAACAAGGAGTCTTTTTAGCTCAGTCAGGTCTCACAAAGCAAGCTTTATGGCCTAGTATGAGCTTTATTTTAGAATACATTCCATATGCTGCTGTGAAGAATGTGTATTCTGTTGTTTGGTTGAATACTCTATGGATATCAGTTAAGTTCACCTCTTGTATTTCTTTGTTGATTTTTTTTTGTCTAGTTGATTCATGATGGGGTGTTCCCCATGATAATTGCGTTGCTCTTTTATGCCAAGTAGTATTTGTCTTATGATGTTATATGTGCTGGTATTTGCTGTATATACAATGATGCTTTGGTTCACCCACGCTTTTATTTGAAATTTGGTTCACATACAGAATTTGACAAAATTTGTTTTTGAGGACTCTGCATTGGGTGACACAACCACAGCCACCTTTTTTGCATGAACATGAATGTAGCCATTTTCCCCAGAATCGTGGCATAAATTAAGTTTGTGAACCAAGGTACCACTGTATATTTACAATTGTTCTCTCTTCCGCTTGAATTGTTCTCTTTTCCAGTATTTAGTGATCATCTCTGTCTCTTCTGAACAGTTTTGGCTTGACATCTACTTTATCTGGAGATAGACTAGCTCCTCCTGCTTGCTTTCTAGCACCTGTTGTATGAAAGCTTGTTTTCTAACCTTTGTGGGTTTTTTTTTTCCCCTGTATTGGGGATCGAATTCAGGACCTTGCAACTTGCAAGGCAGGCGCAGCATCACTGAGCTAAATTCCTGGCCCCTTGATCCTTTGATTTTTAATTTATGGACTTTTTAAATATTAAGTGCATTTCTTATATGCAGTATACTATTGAGTTTTTATTTTTGGTTTATTCTACCTATCCATATTCACTGATTCTTGTCATTGTGGATTTTTTTCCTGGTGCCAATTCTTCTGTTTTCCTCTTTTGCATAATTATTCACCCTTCTTGCTGTGTTCATTCCAGTAGGCCCTTTGGCATTGCTCTCTTCATTATCTTTTCTTAGGATAGTATTATTTTTTGTTGTGCTGGTCTAGTAGCCATGAATTTCTTAAGCTACTCTTTGTTATGGAAGTTCCTAATTTCTTTTATCACTTTTTGTTTGTTTGTTTGTTTAGTTTTGTTCTTTGAGACAGGGTCTTGCTTTATAGTGTAGGCTGGCCTTGAAGTCACTATGTAGCCCTGTCTTGAAACTCCTGGTGATCCTCCTGCTTCAGCCTCCCAAGTGCTGGGATTATAGATGTGTACTAACATGCCCAGTTTCTCCATCACTTTTGAAAGCTAGTTTTACAGGCTATATTATTCTGAGTTGAAAGTTGTTTCCTTTTAGGATCAAAGAACTTTCTCCAAGCTCTCCTGACCTTTGAGGTTTGTGTTAAGTCTTCTGCTGTAATTTTAATAGGTTTACCTTTATAGGTGATTTGTTGTTTTTCTCTGACAGCTTTTAAAATTTTGTTCTTGTGTTGAACTTCTGAGATTTTTGGCTATGATGTATTGTGGAGATCTTTTCTAGTTCTGACTGCTGGATCTATATCCCATGATCCATCACACCATTAGAGCTCTTCTTCGTGGATGGTGTGTATGTTGGACTAGAGGTATAAGGGTACTGTGTTCCTGGCAAGGTCTGTGTTTCCTTTCTGAATCTCCCTGATAAAGAATTTGAATTTAGTGATTTTTTTCTTTCTGTCTGCCTTTCCTTAGTAGCTTTCTTTGTCTCCCTGCTCAGGAATACCTAAATATTTAGGTACATTCTGGGAGCTTTCCTTTTTCATTGCTGCCCCCTACTCTGCCTTGATGGAACTCTAGCAATGCAAAAATAGAATGCTGTTTTTATTGCTGTAGCTGTGTAGTATAACTTGAAATCTGGGATTGTAATGCCTCCTCCTTTGTTCTTAGTGCTCAGTACTGCTCTGGGTAATTGGGATCCTTTCTAGTGCCATATACATTTTAGGAGTATTTTTTCTATTTGTATGAAGAATACTAATGCTATTTTAATTGGAATTGTATTAAATCTGCTTATCATTTTTGGTAGTATGGATATTTTGATGATATTGGTTCTGTCTGCTCAGGAGCACAGGATATCCTTCCAATTTTTTCATGTACTCTTCTGTCTCTTTTGTCAGACTACTACAGCTTTTGTTATGAAGGTCTTTCACTTTCTTGGTTAGGTTAATTCCTAGGTATTTAGATGATTAACAATGAGATATTATTTTAAGGTTTTTACTGAATCTTGTCATTTCATTATTTTTCCAGTGCTGATTCCTTTCATTTACTCTCCCAGTTAGATATATACTTTCTTTTGGGGTCTCTGGTATTGATGGCCTCCCTATCTCTGTCTAGGATCCCCTTAAGTATTTTCTGTAGTACCAGTTTGTGGTCATGAATTTCTTTAAGATTTCTTTGTTATAGAAAGTATTTCTCGAGCTAGGCTTGGTGGCACACACCTTTTCAGGTTACTCCAG